CCAGCCATCAATCCATGCCCAACCATCAATCCATGCCCAACCATCAATCCATGCCCAACCATCAGCCCATGCCCAGCCATCAGCCCATCCCCAGGACAGACGGACAGCCCAGGGCGCTGCTCAGGGGTGAGTGTGCATGGGGCAGGCAAGGAGGTGTCGTTGGGTTTAGCTGGCACCTATGTTTTAGCAGAGAGATCGGTCTGACACTGCTCAAGCTGTGCTATATGGCCAGAAATTACAGAACATGCATGATGTAGAATCTTTACAATCACATAAACAGCATGCAGCATTTCTAGCATTTTCTGCAGTAACCCTGAGAATAATGACTTGGGAATTTGGGGTTTCCTGATGAATGTCCTATAATATTACCTATCTCTTATGGTAAAAGCCACCAGGAGCTCTCCTGGGTTGTGCTCCCATTCCTCCCCAGGACACTACGATATACATTCTGGGGGACTTGCTTTGAAGCTTGGCCAGAAGCCCTTAGATCACTGCAAAAGCTCAGGAAAATGGCTCTGGATAAGGCAAGAGAGCAGCCAGAAAGGCAGAGGATGGCTTTTTTGGGACATTTCCAATAGCTTTCTACAGAGTCCAACTCTGAGTTTAGCCATGAAATAACTCAAGTTTACTGATGGAACAAAGGTGGGCGGAGTGGCTGCGAGCCCAGAAGGCTGTGCCACCGTTCAGCAAGACCTGGGAAGGATGAGAGTGAGGTAGAGGAAAACCTGATGAGGTTTGACATGAGCAAGTGCAGAGTCCTGCACCTGGGGAGGAACAACCACAGCATCAGTACAGGTCAATGGAAAGAATGCTGAGCTGCTGGAGAGGAGCTCTGTGGAGAAGGACCTGGGGGTCCTGGTGGGCAGCAGGTAACCATGAGCCAGCAGTGTGCCCTGTGGCCAAAAAGGCCAATGGGATCCTGGGGTGCATTGCACAGAGTGTGGCCAGCAGGGCGAGAGAGGGGATCCTTCCCCTCTGCTCTGCCCCAGTGAGGTCACATCTGCAATACTTTATGCAGTGCTGGGCTCTCCAGTTCAGAAAAGATGGGGATCATCCAGAGAGAGCCTGGTGGAAAGATACAATGATACAGGGCCTGGAGCATCTCCTGCATGAGGAAAGGCTGAGAGCCCCAGGGCTGTTGGGTTTGGAGAAGAGAAGGGTGCACTTTAAAAGGTTCTCTGTAGAGAAGAACTTCCTGTAAGGTCACGAGTTGCAGGGGAGATGATCTGGCATTCATGTGCAATGTTTCTTTCCAGGAATTATCATGCAAATCCCCACAGTGATGCTCAGCTTTACCTACCCTAGAAAATCACTGTACTGCGTGGCTCATGAATGCTCCTGGAGCATTGCTCAGGTTTGCACAGAACTGCGATGGCTCTGGGGCAGTTCTTTCACAAAATCATGGAATGATAGAATGGCCTGGGTTGCACAGGAGCACAGCGCTCATCCAGCTCCAACCCCCTGCTGTGTGCAGGTCGCCAACCAGCAGCCCAGGCTGCCCAGAGCCACATCCAGCCTGGCCTTGAATGCCTGCAGGGATGGGGCATCCACAGCCTCCTTGGGCAACCTGTGCCAGTGCCATATAATGGGGAATGGACAAGGGGAGATGGCCCTATCTAAGCAGTGAGGTTAAAAGGGTGCACATAAGGCAGACAATTAAAGGACATGCTGGGGAAACATCGGGTCACCCAGTAATTCTAAGCTGGGAAGACCATTCTGCCTTCAGCACTGCACAGCTGAGGTCCTGGGCTTGGCTCATAGGAGGGACGATCCCTGCGGTGGAGCGGAAGGCACAGAGGATGCTCACCGTGACGGGGAAGAAGTCCTTCATGTGTCTCCAGACAGCGCTGTCCCGCACCACGCGGATCCGCCGCCCGCCCCGGAGCGGTGCTTCCCTGTCTACGAACCACCAGGCGGCGTAGAGGACGCTGAGCAGCCAAAAGCGGGTGAAGAGGAGGCCGACGAAGGCAGCGATGCAGCACTGTGCTGGGAGGAAAGCCAGGCGGTGAGCGTAAGGGTGCTGGGAGGGGAAGGCTCACCTGGAGGGAGCTGTTCTGCACAGCCCTGGGATGGAGCCCCGGCCTTCCCTGTGCTCACCGTGGGATTATTGGATCAGTATGAGGGAAGTTAGGAAGCCAATAAATGGTTTTCTTCCCGTCTGCCCCAGGAACCAGAAGAGCAGCTTGACCCCAACCACTGGGAAGCATCCTTTTCTCTGAGGGCCCCTATGTCCACCTCCTCCATCAAGGCTGGTGGACCTCTCTGGTTCCACATTTTGAATGACTGCCCATGATTTTTAATTTTTCATCTTCCCATATAGCAGAATTTTACTCTTTATTGATTTTCTTTTTTTCTTTCTTATTGATTCTGGACCTTTTCCTCCTCCGCTTGGCCTCATTTTAAACTCTAATCCTGACCAGTAGAGGATTTTCAGTCTTTCTGATGTGGTGTCATCACAGATTTTATAGGCACGCTCTATTTCGTTCCCCAAGTCATTAACAACTTGGGACTTTTCCAAGTCATTAAAGACCTTCCTGAGCTGCTTCCAGTCAGTACTCAGCTTTGTCCTCTACCTCCTGCCTCCCTCGTGCCCTGTGTTTTGGCAGGGGAACAAGAGGAGAAAAGTCTGCACGCAAGCACGCATCACTGGGCACGCCAGATCCTACCAAGCCCAGCACTGTCTGCTGCACAGAGTCTGGGAAGCACTGATGCCCACCAAGCTGCCAGTCAAAGCTGTGTCCTCTCCATCTGGAAGCCTTGGTGGCCCTGTCCATCAGAGTGCTATCTGAGTGAGAATGGGCTGAAAATCCACATTGACCCAAGTCCTTTTGCTTCCCCAGCTCATCGTGGGTCACATTAGGATGAGAGACAATGGTCTCAAGCTGTGTCAGAGGAGGTTCAGGATGGTATTAGGAAGAATTTCTTCTCCCAAAGAGTGGCCAGGATGTGCAGGAAAGTGGTGGGGTCACCATCCTTGGAGGTGTTCCAGACCCATGGGTTTGGGGTGCTGAGGGATGCAGGGCACAGTGGGGATTGGATGGGATTGGGCTTGGGGATCATAGAGGTCCTTCCAGCCTTGATGATTCTGTGACTCTACGATTCTATGACTGTGAGTTTTATATTTTGCTCTTCTCTGGGCCCTTATCACAGATCCAGGACCCGTGGCTGAAGGACACAGGGGTGGAGAAGCTCAGCTCAGACACAGATTCAGCATCCAGGCCCTCATCCCAAGACCTGGATTTTCATCTCTCTGGGGTTCACCTGGCACCCGCCATCTCCAGCTGCTCTCTCCTGAGGTCTATCAGAGAAGATGTTGGTTGTCTTTACAGCAACAGATGAGCTTTAATGCATTTTCCCCTAAAAGAAATTGTGCTTTTCTATGGCTGTGCTCATGATGCTTAACCTCTTTTAGGCTTTGGGAGTATTTCAAATGTTTGTGTTGGAAAACAGTATCTTGATAAGCAGATGTGGTTTGGAAGCTATTCTTTTGATAAGTCATCCTGATCCTAAAGTGTTGGGTGTGAAAACAGAAGCCACGTCTTAAAGTCCTGGCATGGTGTGCTGGTAATTCCTACTGGTAAATGGAAGGAAGGGGGGAAAGGGGGAAGGAGGGAAGAAAAGAAGGGAGGGAGGGAGGGAGGGAGGG